GGGGGGCTCGGCCCCGCCCACCGCGCCGGAGGGGGCGGGCCCTCCGCACCTTCTTCCTGCGCCCACCCCCCTCAGGAATGCCGCCCGGCCCCGCGGGGAGCGGTGGGCGCCGGACCCCGGGAGTCCGTTTGGGGGCAGGAAGTAGCCGCCCCTCCTCCCCGGCGCGTTTCCGGAGCGCCTACTGTGTGCCGGGGGTGGGGCGCGCCCGGGGGGGCGGGGACCCTGCCCACGGCCACTCCGAAAAGTTCCCTGGGGGGGTCTGCCGCCCGCGCGGGGATGGCTCCCGGGGCGCAGCGGGGAAACTGAGTCCGGACCCTTACCGCCAGTTGGGAGAGGAGGTGGCTGGTAACACCGCGCCCGTTCTGGCCTCAGCCGTTAGGGCGGGTGAGGAGGCCGCCTGGGACCAGACCCCAAGCAGGTGGCCGGGGGCCCGACCCCGAGCAGCGGCGGGGGGCGCTGCGGGCAGGTGGAGGAGCCTGCGCCATGCCTCATCCGTGGGTCCTGGGGAGGGTCGGTGCTGGCTTTTGTCACCGCCAGCCGGAGTCATCTCCCCCCCCCCAGGTGGGTGGGAGCTGGAGCCCTTCCCGGGGTGAGTGGGCCTGCACGCGGCAGAGCTGCAACCGCCAGCGCCACGCACATACACACGCACACACACACACACACACACACACACACACACACACACACACACGTGGCGTCCTCCTCCCGAGGTGTTCCCGAGGACCCCTGCCCAGCCTGTCCGAAGCCTGAGGATGCCTTTTCTGTTCCTCACCCAGGCCGCCAGGCCTCTAGGTCCCTTGGGCTTTGAAATCAACAGCCTTGAAAACAGCTTTTAGCTTTTGGGTTTTTGTTGTTGTTGCTTCTTTAATGCTTTCATTATTTTTGTTGTGGACAAGAGGAGCAGGAAAGGCGTCCTCAAGTTTGTGGGTTCAGCCTCAGCCTCTCAAATAGCTAGGACTACAGGTTTCACACCTGCACGAGGCTTAACTTTTAGTTTTAATTGCACCTTCTAGCTTCTAGTTGCAAGAACTCTGGGAACAAAAGTCAAATTGTTTTTCCCAAATCCAGAGCCACTCAGGGTGCTGATTAGTCACTCTTAAAGATACCCCTGAAGACACCACACTACCTTGCGAATGCTCATAACCAAGATGGCCACACTGCTATCCTTCCAAAAATGTCACTGATACTGCCCATCGCACAGATGGGGAAAAACAAGGCCCAGAGTAGTGGACATAATTTCTTGTGGTACTCTGTCCATAGCCCTCTTGAAGGGCCTGAATAGTTTTGGGTGACCTGAATAGTTTTGGGTGAGAAAGGCAAAGCCAGATAGTTCCTGACTATTAGGGTCACTGAGCATGCAGGAAGCAGTCTCCTTTCAAGAGCCCAACCTGGAGGGGGAAGTAGGGGTACTTGCAAGTGAGTCTGGAGATGTGGTCTGGTCCCTAGCTGCACTAAGCTTGTGCTGCAGGATAGAGCCAGACCCTCCC